TTGCTGCCCGCTCTGCCTGCCTGAGGCCAACAGCCAGGCCTGCGTCTGGCCACCTGTGGCTCGGGGTCAGCTGTGCACAGCCCTCCTGCCAGAAGGTCAAGGTCATTCCCAAATGTCACGAGGGTCTGAGGATCAGTGTCTGGTTTGCTGAGACGGAACCTGCGACATGACCACGGTTCTGAGCATGACGCCCCTGAAGGCCGTGCTTCCTGCCACGGGGAGCAGAGGGCTGAGGGCTCCGCCGCTGAACCTGCAGGCGAGTGAGCAGGCGCGGAGAATGCCGCTGGTCGGGGCCGAGGCATTCAAACGCCACGGAGTCACTTTTACATAAAGGAACTGAGATTCTCTCAAAGCAAAATTCCAGCTCCGGCCCGGCCGGTGCTGTTGGTGGGAACATCATCCCGCACCCCCAGGGGCTGCAGGTTCGATTCCCGGACACAGGCCTGGGTTGGGCTTCGATCTCCGGTTGGGGCACACGCAGGAGGCAGCCGATCGATGTTCTCTCTCCCTTCCTCTCTCTAAAAAGCAGTAATAATGTTAAAAATCTTTAAAAGGAAAATCCCAGGAACGAAAGTGGCGAGTTTCCCGAGCGATTTCAGCGGGAGCCGCGGAGCAGACACCCAGCCCCGCTCTGTCCCGCATCACCTCGAGGATGGGGAGTCCTGGGGACTGCGTTCCATCAACGGGAAACCATGAAGCTAAAGCCGCTGGGTGGTCCTCAGCCCTGACCTCCCCTCCCCCGTCTGCACGGCAGGTCACTGCTTGTCCACTACGTCATCTGCCTTCCCAGGTCCAGCGGCTGGGCAGGACGGCCGACCGGTCCTTCCCCCACATCTCGGGGACGAGGGCCCTGCAGCCCCGGCTCCCTGAGTATGGGCCGCTACCGGGAGCCGGTCCATCCTTGCTGTTTCAAGGGACCTGGCATATATGGCATGCTGTTCTTAATATATTTGCTCACCTTCTTGGCACTATGTGTTTTAACCAAAGTCACCTCTCCGAGAAAGGTTGTTTCCCCAGGTAGAGATTTTCCCCTGAAGTTAGGGAGGGAATAAAACCCCTTCACTAAGTGCCAGGCGGGTA